TGAAAACCTTCGTCGCCAGAACTGCCACCATCTCAGTCTTTGGCACAGACTTCGTCGAGGTCTATACCGATATCTGGCCTCATCTGTGGATTTTCAACGATGCTTTCCACTCACTCGCGATGGGCGTCCCAGTCTGGGCGCCTTTCCCAAGCTCCCAGCGTGCCAGATTTGCTCTTAAAAGGCTACTCACTTTCATGCGCGAGTATCACATTGAGTTGGACAAGTTTCTCAGTGATGAGGAGCCGGCAACGAAATGGCAGGACTTTCACACCATCAGCCCTCTTGTACGCGCCAGGACTGAAGTCTATCGAAAGCATGGTCTGTCTATTGATGTTCGCGCTGCGTTCGATGTCGCTCTTCTTTGGGCGACTACTGTCAACTCTACATCGCTCATCTCGTGGTCTCTGTTCGAGTTGTACCAAGACCAAGTTCTTCTATCTCAAATCCGCGAGCAAATCACACCATTTGTCCAAATCGTCCAGCCTAAGAACGAATTCGGAGGCGCTGTCTGGATCCCTCCTCAGGTTCAGAAACTCGACCTAGAAGGTCTTGTTACTAAATGCCCTCTACTTCAGGGGGTATATCTTGAGACATTGAGGTTATACGGTGCAGGATGGTCAGCGAGATACCTAAAGGAGGACGTGATTCTCAAAGACAAGGAAGACAGCTTTGTTCTGAAGAAGGGAACGTTTGCACATATTGTGAATGACCTTCATCACTCTGATCCAAGAAGCTCCACAGATGCCAAGGTCTGGCAAGTTGGACGATATCTTGAGGATACTGTGGATAAGAAGGGTGTCAAGGCGCAGAAGGTTAACCCATACACAGTCCGAGCATCAGGTATGTTTATCGTCTTACATGGCAATCGAGCACTGATTAACATTTCTAGATGGAACATTGACGATGTGTGACGACTCAGAGTTCACCTTGAGAAAGGTCGCCATGTACATCTCAGTGTTTATCAGCCTTTACGAACTCAAACCCGCCGGTAGTGAGAGATGGCCATCGCCGCCGGTAGTCAAGGGAGTTGCTTCAGCACAACCGTGGGGGTCTGTAAGGCTTTGGGCGAAGCGAAGGTCGCCGCAGCCTTAATGAGTGGCATACTTGCCTCCCTGAGCTGAACCAATATGTCCGTGGTTCGGGATTTTGGGACACACTGGGATATACCATGTAGTACATTGCTCGACATGCACCAAATTCTCGTCGGATTCATGCTACTTATGTGAAGAGTTGCCACAGCTGAACGTGGGTTTTCAAGATTATCAACACATCTTTACTACGAGCCAAGTCATCCCAGGATATCGAAACTTCCCACAACAACCTACCACCAGCCCAATTCAAGGGTCGTTTTCATGGTCATTATAACTTCACAGAGTCTCATCACCCATCGACGCCATTACAGCCTGTTTCAAGATCCCAGCTCGTATGTGAGCCCTAGTGGGGCGTAGTGTCTTCCCCAGCGCAAAAATTACCCACAACACCAAAAAGTTGATCTCGAGGAGCGTATCTCCCCCGGGAAGGCTCGAACTTCCGATCTCCCGATTGTCTGCAAGTAACAGTCGGACGCTTTAGCCAACTAAGCCACAGGGGATGAGCTGATTTGATGATGGCCGCCACGGAATTGGGTGCTATGTTGGCGACGGTTGCAGTTTCACGACGGTTGAGACGGAAGATGTTAGAGATCAAGAGGTTGAGTCTTTGTGAAGAACGGTTGGATATGAGTTGAGTTGGGCTGGCTTGAGTTTGTGAAGAAACAGTGGTGAAACGAACAGAGAGAGGTGTAACATCATCCAGCCCAGTTCTGGTGATGTTAGCTCAGAGGGGACTCTCAATCCAGGATTAGACAATGCCAGATAACAGAAGCAAAAAATTGTCCATTCGATATTTCGGCCGATCAAAACTGCCAGTCAAAGTTTTTCGACATGTCTTACAACAGTTGTCTCAGATCTGAACGAGAACAGTCCTGTTCACAAGAACAAGCCTACCTTCCAGCAGACACTAATAAGTAATCAGCCATGAGTCAATTGACTTCCGGCACCATTCAAAAGCAACTCAACCTCTAGCGTCAAAAAAGACATCAATCAATTGATATTCTGGACAACAAAAGTATATGCAATTGGCAAAAGAGAACTCCCCCGGGAAGGCTCGAACTTCCGATCTCCCGATTGTCTATTTAATAACAGTCGGACGCTTTAGCCAACTAAGCCACAGGGGACAGGTTGTGCTGATGTTAAAGAACGCGGCTGTAACGGTGTTGGTTAATCCTTGCCCAGCTCTTTCACGAGTGTGTGAAATTGATTTTCAGTCAGCAGTTCTAATTGAAGGAAGATGAGATGTGGCTCAGTGTGAGATTGTTTTTGTCGCTGGTTTTTCATTTGTGAAATGGATTGCTAGTGTGAGATAATACGTGGCTGTGAGTGAGTTTGTTAGCTTAACCATTATCACCTCACCTCTAGCCGGTATATCGAGTTCACGATGCGCCACGAACTCATACAACGGTATGGTCTGGGAAACAGGAAAAAGGGCAGCTCCTTTCGCTGAAGTGCTTCACTACATTACCAATTCACCCAATTGATCCAATACCATTGAGTCTCTAGTCTCTGTGTATTACACCAGGTTGAGAAGATTACCCTGTATCATGGCCCCCAACGTCTGGGGGCAAACTCATATCATCATATCGGTCATTACCGAAACCAACACCGTTAATGGCTATGAGAACTGAGCCTTGCTATCCAATATTAATTTGAAACTTCTGCTGCTGGCATGACTATTCCTCAAAACCAACTCCCATCCTTCACAGTCTAGAAGTGGCTATGCAAATAGAAAGGGGCAATCCCAAAGAATCACACAGTCACAGTCTTCTAGAAAATTAACAGTGGATCTCTTTATTCCTGCATTGTTTATCTGGGGAAACTTCATGACATTTTCGTCATGCGGCGATCCTTCGGCCGGGGTTCGGAGTACGTGATCGGCCAGGCATCAAAAACGGGGCCGAGATCTTCGGAGCCGGACCCGGTAATGGATTAAACTAAGCAATTACATTCCCAGGCTGTGTCGAGGCTGAGCAATGAGCTTAACAGTTGTTGGACCAACAGTCGTTTATGTGTATCAGGTGATGAGATGGAGAATAGAGATTAGCGGTCTGCCTTGTGGAGTTGAGCTTGTTCTGAGACTCAGGCATTTGGGGCCAACAGTTGAAGGCCACAATTGAGGCTAACAATTGAGGCTAACAATTGAAGACCTGAGTCTTACCCAAGCGCCAGGTTGACGGTCCGCGGTAAAAGGTAAAATTAGCTGCGGCCCATGTCCTTGGTAATTAATGAGCATTCGCTATAAGCTTCAGAAGCATCATCAGAGGGATTGAGGCTGAGAAGGCCAGAGCCTACAACTCATCATGAAAGTGCCAATCATCAGACTTGCCCGACTTACACGAGGGATATCTCAAGTGGCAAATGATCAAGGCACTGCAGCGTGACACCTAGAGATATTGGACGTCGACAACATGAGATGTTAGCGCCGGGAATCATTCTAGAATGTTATCCCCATCTAACAGCTAAAGTTACGGCTTCTTGCTTCCGGCCATTTCCAGATACAGCAGATCCCATCCCGGCATCGCCAAGCCGAAAGGTGACCAACAATGACAAGTGGATGGATATTGACATTGACTTGAACAATTCCAAGAGGCAGTGCAACTGATCACACGTCCCCCATCCAATGACATTACACGTCCCAACAGCGCTCGAGTTATCCTATTCTGGCCTTGAGCCCATGATATGATTGGCCAGAGTCGGCCAGTAGCTCTGCCGAGTCTCCGTGGATCAAAAAGTCCAGCGGTCATGGAAACCAACATCAATCGGGCGCAATGACAAGTGTTAGCCAAACTATCGTGGCCGTTTATCCTCAAAGAGGCGGAGTAGATTCAGGGATCTGCACTATTTGCCTCTGGCCCTGGGGCTAGTCTCTCGTCTCAAGAAGCTATCTCCGAGAATGGACTGCGGTTCAATAGCATTGACGTGAGAAGGCATCGCCCTGTGAGGCAGAAACAAAAGATACTGCCGTATATGTCATTCGAGTAATGCTTGGCCAACGCACATCGTTACCGGGTTCACCAAAGCCGAGAGCTTACCAAAAGTCTTGGCCATATCATGGATTTGAGCAAACGTGCCTTATTCCCATAGTTCAATTGAGAAAGTGCGTATCGACACTGACGAACCCTCCATCGGTAGAGTTCAGGTTTATACGCTCAAATGGCTTGTGATTGTCATTTCCTGATTCGATAATGCCTCATCCCATATCTCGTCGCGTTGATCGTATTCCCGCGACGAAATCAAGAGCTCTTTCTCATGCGAGACCCTAGCGGCACCTCCAAGCCTTGCGCCCCACAAGTCCCTTCCCGTAAGATCGCGTAGGCGAATCATAAATCACCGCCAAGGTGGTTGCATGCCATTCGGGCTCCACAATTTGGAAAGTAGATCGCTCCTTCCCCGTGTCAATGTCACCTGTGCACCTCAGGGTTTCAGGCGACAGGGGTAGAAGGGTAAGAAAGTTAGTTTAGATGATAAAAATACTCAGGCAACTCTAGACCATACTTAGGGGGTTCTAGTCTAGTTGTTTTTAGTATCCTACCTCCAGGTCAGAAGTCTTTTTGCTCACTGATGCCTGCGCCTGCACCTGCACTGCACGAAGCTTGGGTTGTGTCGGGTGCGACTTCCAATGAGGTCGACGTCACCTCATTGACTTGGCGCTATGTTAGGTTGTAGCTCTGAAGGAAGGATGTATGAGCTGAGCTTGAGGGTGGGTTGGACCTGCCCGACAACATTAAATAACACCCTCTCCCCACCTCCAAAGTGAAACACTTACAACTTCCATTGTCACAGACATTCCATCACCAAACAAAACAACTTCGATCATCCAGTACTTCACAACTTCTTTGATCAACCCTAAACAACCTTCAAGCCATTTCTCGAATCAACACAACACACCACACTTCACACTTCACAATGTCGTCCACTGAGGGCATGATCAACGGCGGCGGAAGCTCTTCCGCAAACCCAACCAAGGCTCCTGTGATGGAGGGCAACGGAGGCTTCATGGCCCAGCACAAGATGGCAGTTGAGCCCCCCAAGAAAGAAGATCTCCAGCGCAGTTATGCGACTGTTGTCGAGAACGACGCCAACCCCAAGGGTTGGTATGGCTCAATGAGTAAGTATCAGTGATCACGAAATGCATGATATCAACACATCAACTAACACCTTCAGTGAATGCCCTTGGAACCATCATTGGAACCATGGGTGCCGTACCCTGCTGCATTATCTGCCCCAACCCCTTCAAGGAGGTCAACCAGGGCAACGTCGGTCTCGTCACGAAGTTCGGAAAGTTCTACAAGGCTGTCGATCCTGGTCTGGTTAATATCAACCCTCTCAGCGAGCGACTCATTCAGATCGATGTCAAGATTCAGACCACAGAGGTGCCCGAGCAGATTTGCATGACCAAGGACAACGTTACTCTTCGCTTGACCTCAGTTATCTACTACCACATTGTCTCTCCTCACAAGGCTGCTTTCGGTATTAACAACGTGAAGCAAGCTCTCATGGAACGCACTCAGACCACTCTCCGCCACGTTGTCGGTGCTCGCGTTCTTCAGGATGTCATCGAGCGCCGTGAGGAGATTGCTCAGTCCATTGGAGAAATCATTGAGGACGTTGCCGCTGGATGGGGTGTTCAGGTCGAGAGCATGCTCATCAAGGACATTGTCTTCAGCCAGGAGCTGCAGGAGTCACTGTCCATGGCTGCTCAGAGCAAGCGTATTGGTGAAAGCAAGATCATTGCCGCTAAGGCTGAGGTAACATTCTGCATCCTTTTTCGCTTGGTCACATATGACTAACATACTCCTCCTAGGTTGAATCCGCCAAGCTTATGCGACAAGCTGCCGATATCTTGAGCTCGGCTCCTGCCATGCAGATCCGATACCTGGAGGCTATGCAAGCCATGGCCAAGTCTGCTAACAGCAAGGTCATCTTCTTGCCTGCGGCCAATCAGACCATGGGTAACGCTCTCAATGCGGCCATGGCCAACCAAACTGGCGAATCCAGCGGCCGTGCCCTGGATATCGAAAACGACTTTGGAGGTCAGGACCCAGGTTTCCAACAGGCCATGAACGCCCGCGTCGTGGAGAACATCTAAACAAGGCGTTCTTCCCTCGTGCGTATTACATTGAGGCAATGGGCTAACGCTTGAGGGTTCCCGTTTTGGGTTCTAGCCTGGTCTACTTGATTTCGGAAGCATTGCCCTCGCCTGCTCTCTTCTCGTCTTCACCAGAGCTACACCCCAGCTTTGCTCCTCTAACTCAACTGAATGACCTGTCACGTTTTTGCTTTCAACGCTACACTCTGATACCCATCTCAACGACAACCGCCATCGCTCGTTGCGCTTTTCAAATTTTAGTGTATGTATTCTACTTTCTTCTTCTATCGAGGGAGCGGTGGTGGATAGGGGTGGTATCTTGTGCTTTTATTTTTGGTGATGGATACCCTTGGTTTGCTCAGATGAGCATTTAATGAGGATGGTTTCTGGATGATCTCTTAACGTCATGGAAAATACCCAATCGCTATGAATATACCCTTTTCCTTCTGATGTTGCTGTGTTTGTGGAGTACTTCATATGTCCGTGAAACCGAAAGAACTCTTATGGACTGTGATAATCTTGAATTGCCAAACCGTGATATTTTCTCGTCGGTGACAAAAAAGACTTGGGTAACTTTGGAAGGATTCTAGACTAATTATTTCTGGCACCCTGGTTGAAGAACGCCGGTTTGTTGCTCCTCGAGGCCCCAAAATGAGTGAACAGAACCAAGACAACCTCATACATATTCATGGAAAAGTGACAAGTCACATTGCATGACACTCCCAGATCATCACAACTAGCTACATAGGTAGTAGTTCATTTAGCAATCACAATCTCCAGGGCAGGCCAAACTTGAGGATTAACTTTTAAACTTGACAATTTTCTCTTCTATATCCCTCTGTTCACCCTCCCGTAATGATACATCAAAAGCATAGTAAATTCCTCTCCAGAAGTCATCGCGCATCCACCCAGGGGACGGGGGAGGGGACAGAGGGTCAAGTTGAAAATACGAAAAAGGGATAAAACCAAATCACGCCAATATGCCCTCCACCCAAACGCCAGCCAGCCAGGAAACAAGGTGCGGGCAGAAGATGCCATGCCAGGAGTCTCTCAGGTATCATATATCTACACATCGGGAACCGTCCAATAGTCTGTTGTTGGGTTGACTTGAAATATGATCTTTCGTTTTGGAGCGGATTCTTCGTCAGTGTTTAGACGAGTACGAGTAAAGCAGGTAGGATGAGATTGGTAACCTCAGAAGTCCTACAATTGTGTCCGATTCAGCATCGTCACGACTTGCGCCGTGGACGTTTACTTGAGGGCCTCTAAGCCTCAGAGTGTCGCTTCTTCTTCTTCTGCTTCTTCTCCTTCTTGGGCTCCTCGTCTTCTGAGTCGTCGTGCTTGCGCTTCTTCTTGCCATCGATCTCCTCGGCGGCGGGTTGCGACTTGGAAGGTGTCGCCTTCTCCTCAGCCTTTCGCAGCTTCTTGAGTTCCTTCTTGCTAATGACCTTGGGTGTGCCATCGGCGTTCAGCTCAACGTCACCTCGCTCGTACTTGCGCTTGAACTTCTTGACTGAGATACCGGCCTCCTTGGCAAGGCGCTCGTAATCGGCCTCGGAGAGCTTCTTGGGCTTGCCAGGAGTGGCAACCTCGTCATCGCTGTCCTCAGCGTCCTTCATCTCCTCGTCAACCTCCTCGATGAGCTTCTTGGCCTTCTTGAGCTTCTTGGCGGGAGTAGCTTCGGTGGTCTCCTCATCATCGGCAACACCATCGGCGTCACCGTTGTATCGGCGGGTCTCCTTGAGAGTGAACTGACCAGCACCAACAATTTCACCAGAGGGGGTGACGTTGGCGCCCTTGGGCAGAAGAGGCTTGCCCTCGAGCTTGCGGAGTTGGTTCTCAAGCTTGATGCGGTTGCTGAGACCAAGGATAGCGCGCTCCTCCTCATCGGCGTCGTCTTCGGCATCACCTAGGGCATCCACACGGAGACCTAGAGCAGCCTTGGCAGACAGCATACGAGCGATCTTACCCTTGTTTCGGCCGGTGGCCTGACCGATGAGTGAAGAGTGGTAGATGAGACCATACTTGGGTGTATCGTGCTTGGTCTTGAGGGCGCGGAAGAGGGCCTTCTCGGCACCGAGGATCTGAATGGTGGAACCAGGAGACTTGGCCAAGCTGATGAGAGAACCAGCGTGGGCAATGAGACGGGCACCGACGAGGTAGCCGACGAGAGCAGTCAGGTTGGGAGCGATAGCGCGCATGCGGCTCTCGAGATACGAGGACAGCTGTGTTCGGTAGTTTGAGTAGACAATGACTTGGTCAGCCAAGAGCTTAATGTTGTCGAGATCCTCGTCGGTGATCTCGGTACCCATGCTAATCTCGGCAGCAGCCTTGATGGAAGTCTCAATCTCCTCGGGAAGGATCTCGGAGAGGTCGCTATCGGCAATGTTGGTGCGCATGCCAACAGCGAGAATGACGCGAGCGTAAGCCAAGTTGTCGTTCAGGATCTTGGCCATCTCAGGGAAATGCCATCCGTACCACTCCTTGGTTCGCATAGCATAGACGTTGAGCTCCTTGTCGAGGTCGTCGAGGAGCTTGATAGCCTGGATGATCATGGAGTCGACCTTATCGGCAGAGAACTTGAGCTTGTGGCGCGACATGGAGTGAGAAAGACCCAGGGCCATGCGGTCAAAGTTCTCCTCGAGCAGTCCAGGGATAAGGTTGGGAAGTCCACCTCGAATACCACGGAAGAGGTCCATGGTGTTGGAGCCAGAAACAGGAGAAATGTTGAGCGAGGGCATGTTAGAGATGGCAGTGCCCAGCTTCATATCGGCGACGGCGAGCGAAGCCTTCTTCTCGGACTTGAGGTCGTCGAGGAGTTGGGTGAGAAGCTCAGGGACCTTGCCCTCCTTGAGCGACGCAGCTTCTTCGAGAGCGGTAGCGGCGCTGTCGAACTTGACAAACTTCTTGAGCTTGAGCCTATCAAGGGTAAATATGTCAGCAAGGTACTTGATGGTATTTCGGCAATTGGCGATGGTCCACTCTGCCATTGGAGACATTTTTGGGTGTTCAATGGCTTGAGTTTTCGCAAGTAAAAAAGTGTTCAAAAAACTTACATCTCAACGACCTTCTCAGGTCGTCCAAGCTCAGCAGCGAGTTCCTCGTTCTTGAGCATCTTCTTGTCAGTAGCCTTGAACAGGCCATAGCTGCCAATAATTAGCCCGGCTTCCTAGATCTTCACCTGCCTCGCCATCATGAATTGACAATGGTCGAGGTCAAGATCGGGAGTCGCGACTTACCCTGCCGGCGTCTCGGCAAGCACAAAGAGCGACATGGTGAATTAGTTTTGGTTCCTTCCTTCTGGTCTCGCTCTATTCGATTGGCGTCGTGGCTTCCTCGCGAGGCACAGTCCGGTCTGTTGTGCGCGGCTACGAAAGGAAAGATCGAGGGTGGGCTGGCGATGGAAAAATTTCAGATGAAGCTTGGGAAGGTTCCACTCATTTTTTTTTGGTCTTGGTCCTGGCGCGGAAAGTGTGATGCAGGTTCTTCGGCTGCCGGAAGTACTTGCCTCCGGTTTCTACATCAGGTACGTACCCCCAGCCACTGACTCCTGGCCACTCACGTGTCGACGCTCGCGACAGGATGTCTGGGCAAGCTTGCGTCGCAGGCTGAGGGTTGTTAGGCGGCCAACTTAAACAATCCAGTTAATTCATCGCCTCGGCCACGAAGACGTTCTATAATCCTCAAGGCCTCAACTACGACAGATTAAGATCGAACGTATTACCACGGACGAGAATCAAGATGGAGGGCCTTCTCTACAACGTCAACGGCGGGTGCGTATTAGCTTGAAGATGGAGCTTCATACGAGTGGTTCTGGAGACTAATCATAAGGAACAGCTACGTCGAAGGAATTGTCCGAGGCTACCGCAACGGTCTTCTCACAGGCGCTGCCTATAACAACTTGACTCAATGCGAGACGATTGATGGTACGCGACGATGACTTCATCACCAACTTCATTAAACTAACGGCCACAAGATCTCAAGCTTCAGCTTGGTCCTTCATATGGCGATTTTCTCGCTTCCCTACCACCTAACCCCTCTACGTCAGCTCTCGCAGCCAAGACCACCGACAAGCTTATCTCAGAGTTCCGATATGTGCGCGCTCAAGCTGTCGGCTCCCTCGCTACCTTTATGGACTACGTCACCTACGGCTACATGATCGACAACGTCGCCCTTCTCATCACAGGAACCCTCCATGAGCGTGATACCCGTGAGCTCCTTGAGCGATGCCATCCTCTGGGATGGTTCGAGACTATGCCAGTTCTCTGCGTTGCTACAAACATCGAGGAACTTTACAACAGTGTGCTTATCGAAACCCCTCTTGCTCCATACTTCAAGGGCAGTCTTAGCCACCAGGATCTTGACGAGCTAAACATTGAGATTGTCCGAAACACACTCTACAAAAACTACCTCGAGGACTTTTACAACTTTGTCAACACTCACCCTGAGATGGCTGGTACACCCACTGCTGAGGTCATGTCTGAGATTCTCGAGTTCGAGGCTGACCGCCGAGCCATCAACATCACCCTCAACTCTTTCGGCACAGATCTTTCCAAGCAAGACCGTAACAAGCTCTATCCCAACTTTGGAAAGCTATACCCCGAAGGAACTCTCATGCTCTCCCGAGCTGAGGACCCTGAGGGTGTTCGCCTGGCAGTTGATGGTGTTCATGACTACAAGTCTTTCTTTGATGCCATCTCAGTCGGTGGCGGACCCTCGGGACCTGGAAACATGGGTGGCGGCGCTGGTGAGACTAAGACGCTGGAGGATATGTTTTACCAGAAGGAGATGGAGATTTCCAAGAACGCTTTCACCAGGCAGTTCACTCACGCCATTGTCTACGCTTGGGTGAAGCTCCGAGAACAGGTTAGTACATCCCAACATGAGTGGTACTCATGAGACTAACAAATCACAGGAAATCCGCAATATCACCTGGATTGCCGAATGCATAGCTCAGAACCAGAAAGAGCGCATCGGCAACTACATTAGCGTCTTTTAAATCGAGTATAGGTATTGGCATCGTTTTCATTTTTAGCAGGATTTTGTGTAGTATAGCAGCAACTGAGCTCGTAATGGCACGGATTAGTTCCCACACTGGCGCAAAGGACAGATAGGTAGATGCAAAAGGCGGCATCGTCGCTCCATCTTTCAGGTGGCTTGTATTGTACATAGAGAGAAACAAGTTATTCTACAAAATCATCTCAGCTCCCGCTCTGTCTTTACAGCGAGATCTGGTCCTTCCATGTCGCAGGTGTAAGACCCAGCTTCTCAACCATGTGAGTCCATCGCTCACTTCCCCTCTCCTTACGGTCCATGTACTTCATAAGCTTTTGTCGACGGTGCAGCAATAATCTCAAGTTTCGCTTATTGTGCTTATCCTTGTATCCCCTGTTGATCTGCAGAGCCTGAGAGAGGTTGTTGATCTTGGTTGTCAAGATAGCAATCTGAACCTCGGAGCTGCCTGTATCAGGACCGCTCCGGACCGGCATTTGCACTTTGTTGCGATGAATTGACTTTGGCTTGGGTTTCAGAACCTGGTCTGTGTTGTGACGGCCGAATTCCTCAACGATTCGTCTCACGTTGGCGTGGAAGCGGTCCTTTGCGCTGCTGTTGCTGAGCGATGTGATACGGCGCAGGGCCTCAATGGCCTTCTGGTGGCGCTGCTCGTGTTGCTTCGCCTTATCCACTCCGCTTTCGGGTTCCATCTGTGACTCGACCACGCCGATCATGGGCTTGGTAAGAGTATATGCGTGCTTGACAGCCTCAGAGAGTTCAGAGTCGGTAAGGAAGTAATTTCGTAGTTCCGGAGATGTCGGTAGCTCATGTGCCTCGGCGAGCGGGTTTCCACTTCCATCTACAGGAACACGGGACGTAGCCTCTTGACCAGCCGATTCAAGAGACTCTATAAAGGGAGTTGTCTTTCCCTTGACGGGATCACCCCACGCCTCATCCCTCTCACGGGCGAGCTCCTCACGCCGTTGCACATTGGCAGCCTTTCGCTGTTGCGCCTGAGCCCATCGGTAGGGATCCTGTTTCGCCTTGCGCTTCTTCTCACGCTGGGACAAGTTGGCCGTTTGGACGATGGGGAGAAAGTTGGGGGTAGCGGGCTTTGCGGCGGGTCGGAGGCAGACTGAACAATTGATTAGCATTGAAGAAGCTAATGGCTACAATAGATACATACGGTTCAATGTGCCAAAGCGCGGCAGCGCCGGTATTCTAGGGGGCATGATTGAAGCATCAACCTACTGCTTTGATACAGAGACTGATGGATTGTCGTCCTTCCAAAGCCCGCCCCAAATTTTCCTTAGCCCACCTTGCCAATGCCGTACTGGGAGCCCGCTGGGCCGCTGAGTACCGAAACAGATTAGCCTATTTGTCACGTGGAGATACTGCACTTCGATCTCTTATCGCGCCGCTAACCCATGTTCAGCCTAGCGTATCCATCAGGGCTTCCCACCTCCCACATTTTGATGGTCTCAAAATTCAGTCGCGAACTTCTCGATTTTGCGATTCTCTGCACGCAACACCACAATCCTCTTCGCCGTCACCTTCCAAGCCATCCTTCCTTTTCGTCACCCAAGACAAGAGAAGATAATCCGTCAAGATGGCTCCCTCCAACCTGCCCGCCCTCTTCAACGCTACCAGCCAGGACATTGAGACCCTCCTGGCTGCTCAGTGCCACCTCGGCTCCAAGAACCTCCAGGTTCACATGGAGAACTACCTCTGGAAGACCCGTGCCGATGGTGTCAACGTCATCAACGTCGGCAAGACCTGGTATGTTTGAATTGGAATTTTTATGGGAGTTTTGGGCTTCAAGATTGTCTATTTGGAGGGGGCGTTGGAAGCGCATATTCGATATTCGAAAAATGAAACTATTCAGAGGAGGGGCAGAAAATCTTGAAACCAAAACACCAAATATTCTCGCGCACAATTGCTAACCGCGCATCTCACAGGGAGAAGATCGTTCTGGCTGCCCGTATCATCGCTGCCGTCGACAACCCCGCCGATATCTGTGTCATCTCTGCCCGTCCCTACGGTCAGCGTGCCGTCCTCAAGTTCGCCGCCCACACTGGTGCCACCGCCATCGCTGGTCGCTTCACCCCCGGTTCCTTCACCAACTACATCACCCGATCTTTCAAGGAGCCCCGTCTGATCATCGTCACCGACCCCCGCACCGACGCCCAGGCCATCAAGGAGGCTTCCTACGTCAACATCCCCGTCATTGCCCTCGCCGACACTGACTCTCCCACCGAGTACGTTGACGTTGCCATCCCCACCAACAACAAGGGTCGCCACGCCATCGGTGCCGTCTGGTGGATGCTCGCCCGTGAGGTCCTCCGCCTCCGTGGTACCATCTACAACCGCGAGACCCCCTGGGACGTCATGGTCGATCTTTACTTCTGTATGTCTCCCTCTCAACTAACACCAGCAACATGCACTGACAACTCGCAGACCGTGACCCCGAGGCTGAGGCTGAGGACAAGGTTGAGGAGGAGAAGCTCCCCGGCGCTGACGAGGAGGGTCCCGCCGCCATCGAGTCCGGCTTCCAGAACACCGCTGGTGGTGACTGGGAGACTCCCGCCGCTGGCTTCGCTGGTGCCACCGGTGCCGCTGCCCCCGGCTGGGACGGTGCTGCTGGTGAGGAGTGGGGTGCTGCCCCCGCCAACACCGAGTGGGCTGCTTCCGCCGAGGCCCCCAAGGACTCTCAGTGGTAGGGTACTGAGGCCCAGGAGGGTGATGGCCAGGGACACCAAGAGCCTGCCATTGACTGGTAAAACAAGAATTCAAAAAAGAGGATACCAAAGCAAATTCAAAACAGACACTGAATCTGAACACATTTGGAACGGTTTTACGACGAGAGAGGCAGAGAGCAGAAAAGCGTGTGGATGTGTGTTGTGGTTCAATCAAACTATTCGACAACGTTAACCTTTTCCTTTTCCCCCCTTTCGATAACACAATCTTTCTTGCTGACTATCTTACGAATTAACATCCGTGGGAATTGAGGTTTTCAACTCGGCGGTGCTAATGAGGGAAAGATACTCTCCTCCTTGTCTTTTGGGATGGAGAGGGAAAGCCCTGCGCTGCTGAGGGGATGGACTTAATCGTTATCCCGCCTTGTTTCTATGGAATTTGTATTGATGCGAGAAAAGTCAAAATATGAGTCGTCTGACCTGGGTTTACCCATGACATGATTGAGTGCCGTAAACATGCTTGTGAAGTCTTGTGTTATTCGTAAATCTGTAGACTAACTTGGTGACGATCATTACTTGCATCGGCTTCATTAAGAAAAAAAATCATTTTCACGTAGGTAGTTAAGATAGAACCAACTCATCGTAAACATGGTATCAATTGTCAATCCTCACAACATCTACTCATCCTAATCCCTATGCTATATCAACAACCAACTTCCCTCACCCCAACCTATCGTTAACACTAATTAAAGTGAATCCAAAACTGGCCGTTCTATCAACTGAGAAACCAGAAAAAAAAAGGGAACAAAACGCAACATGACGCTTGCGCAGTGCGGGTATGATCAAAAACCAGGATGAGAGAAAACCCCATAGATGAAATCGTGTGAAATACACAAAAAGAAAGCTTGCCCAACTCCTTGCTTTGTGTCCCAAATGCTGTTGATGATTATGTTGTATGTCTCGGGGAGAAAAAGAGAAAACTCCTGGTGTGGTGGTATGTGAACGAGTTATGAGATGGGGTATAATGTGAAGGCATGCTGGGTATGCTCTTCTTGTGGTGTTGAAACATAGGAAATGAAACGCCGTTTGGGTCGGTGAGTCATAAATCGTTATTATCGTTCCCGTATGTGTATGAGTGTAAAAATGTGGTGGGTAAACCGCATGGTTGTAGAGTTTATTCGAGCATTTCCGAGTGACGTCGAATGTCCTCGTCGCTCAAAGCGCTCATCCAGAGACAGCGCTCAGTGATGCCTTCAATGGGCTGGAACTTGTATCGGGTGCTGGCCTCCAACAGCCTAAGCAGTGTCTTGACAACAGAGGCCGCAATGCGACATCGTTCAAAATTGATCAAGGGAGGCGTTGTAGGGGAGCCAGCCATCTCAGATGGTCGCTGAGCATTGTAAAGCAGATCGTGGGTATAGATACCAACGAAAGGAATACAGCCTTGGTCAGAGCCAACTTCCATCTCCGCACGTAGGTTGTAGAAGTTGCGCATAGGAGTGACCAGCTTCTCAAGATCTTGCAGGGTCTTCAGGTCTTGAGGAGCGACATGCTGCCAAGTCTTGGTGAGTCTAGCGACTTCGTTGCTCGACAGGGCGATGGTAAGCTGAGCGAGGGTAGCAAAGTTGCGGTATCGGCGACAGTGAGTGGCGATATGAATGTACTTGGTGATACATCTTACTCTCTCCTCTAGGCCCTGCGTCAAGACAATCTCAGAGATGGCCCATTTGACCATGATGTTGAAGCGAGCAATGACTACTTCAACTCCATGGGCGTCAGAGTTACGGAGGAAGTCAACCCACGATCGAGAGTCGCTATGAGCAGCATCCTTCCAGTTCATGTCAATGAGCTCCTTCCAGTCAATCTCGTTCAGCGCGTCCTTTTCAATGAGTGTGAACTGTTGAGCTAGGATCTCCGAGTCGAAAGCCAGGATGAATGGCAAGTGAGCAGAATACTTGTTGCTCTCAAAGGAGTCCACCTTGGCAACTTGACGAAGTGCATCGGTTGATGCTTGATCAGCTGTCTGAACGTACGCAGCGGTGGGTGTAGTCTCAGGAGTTGGGGGAAGAGGCTTCTGGCCCCAAACTTGATCCTCGTGTAACTCAGGGACTGTGAAGCAGTGAGGCGGGGACATCTCCAGGGCTTGCACCAAAGTCATGGGAGGAGACGGAGGCTTGCGGTTAGGAGGTGGAGCGGGCGAGCCAAGTGGATGAGCAGGGAGCTTCACTCGAGGCAAAACACCATCACCGTATTCAGAGTCCTCGTATTCGAGAGCGTCCGCCGACATTTCCGATGAAAGGTCGCTGTCGTCGTCAAGGAACGATTGGTCCTCCTCCGCTGAGGGAGCGGTGTCGCCAGGCTTGATGCCTTCAATGCTCCGCGTCTTCTCAATAAAGTCGTAAGAAGCATGCTGTGAGTCGCCTCCATCCTCGGTATACAAGACGGTCTTGTGTGGTCGAGGCGTGGTTTCTTCATCTGAGCCCTCGAGGATCGACATGTTGGTCCAAGGGCGACCCTTCGCGGAGTCTCGATCAAGGATAGGAACAGAGGAATAGCTTTCGTGAGACGAACCAGTCAAGAATGATCTAGCTTCGGTTGTAGGTCTCTCGGGTGAGAGGCTTTGCTCTTTCGGCTTAATCAAAGGCTCTGGTTCACTATCCTCAGGATCCAGCATGAACGTCTCCCTGACCATCAACTCCTGTTCATGGTGATTCTTCTTGCGATCCGCTTCTAACTGCTCTGAAGCGATCATGACCTCGCCAATTGTCTGAGGCGGTGCTTGAAGACTGACAGCAGATTTGTGTGACTTCTTTTCGGGGAGCTTGCCCTCAAGCTTGGCCAAAGCAGACTCGATTCCGCCATCATCGTCGTCATCAGGAATTTGAGCCAGTTTCTGAGCCTCCTTTTCGAACGATGGGCGCATAGCTGGCTTGGATGAGTGAGTGCTGAATAGCGAAAGCTCTCGCTTTGGTTTGTCCGCAAGTTGTCCAACAGAGAAGGCCTCGCTTCTAGGCTGTACATACTCAATGGAGACAACCGAACCTTGACCGAAAGATCCACGACCAAAAGACGCCATCCGAGGGCTCTGCATGAAAGAGCTGCGAATTGACTCTGAGTATGTTGTTAACGAGCCAACAGATTGCGATCTCCTCAACGTAACAGGATCCAGCTCTCCCACGTTCGTGGCAGCTCGCAGGTCTCCTCCAGGTCGTCGTCGAAGAATTCGCAGAGGCGGTGGTATAGGTTCCTCGGGCTCAGGTTCCGCGATCGATTGGCCAGAAACTGTTGTGGCATCGAAACTCTGAACTGTGGATCTACGAGCGAGGCCGTTTGTAAATGAGCTGCGGCGGCGAAGAATCGAGTTCAGAGACCGATGAGTCCTGCCAGACTTGTTGCGGCGGTGGTTCTGATACGACACAGGAGGGCGGTTGCGAGTACTTCGAGCTGCTGTAGAGTATGAGACTCGGCTACCATCCTCTGATAGAGGTGCGCTAGTGACAGGGGCGAGGGTCTCGAAGTCGGGAACAAATGGCGGT